TATTTGTGAATAATTATTTGTATTCGTTACCCAATATTCATGATACGTATCATATTCGCCACATAGTGTATTCGTTGCAACCCTACTACTGTCCAACAATAATCACTATCCTTCACTCCTAGTTTAATCCTAACATGCCCACATACCTATTACAGTTGTGTATTCTAACCCCTTGCAGTATTAAGTATGCCCAAATGGAAAACATGCTTGTCATATTCAATTTGTTAATGGTAGATATTTTAACACTAAAATAGCCATTAATATAGTTCATGTACAGTTAAAGAAATCTGTGACCTTATAAAATAATATTTACAGGGGTCGAAATAACTTTAAAATTGCTAGTGTACTCCGGTACAGTGGCACATGTAAAATCACTTGCCCTGATAATTTTCCACTATACCGGCTGTTTTCTTGTTGATTTTTTAAATAAACAATATAATTAATATTGGAAAGTCAACTGGACACCCGTACAGTGTGATATCCAAATTTGCTTGCCCGACAGAAAAAAATACTGGACTCGGGCTTTGGACAATGGGTTATTTCCACCCCTGATTTAGACTAATGTGTTCTGATTGTCCCAGTTTTCTGCTTAAGGAGATCTGGGTTAAATTGTTCTTCAGCAAAACCCATACTTGTTGTAAGAGGTGTCTAATGGGATCGTGTGGTCACTCTCATGACTTGGTTGATATGTCATGGTAACCCTATTGCACAGACTGAGGCTCATGATGTCAATCACTGGATTGTCTAGACTAGATTACTAACCCGCGTCTTCACAGGTCCATAATACTGTCACATATAATATGACCACTGTCATATAAGTTATAAAGAGTGAATGAGTTTAGTTTTACGCCGCACTCAGCAATATTCCAGCTGTATGGTGGCTGTCTGTAAATAATCGAGTCTGGACCAGACAATCCAGTGATCAACAGCATGGGAATCGATGACACATATAAGTTATAACTTGAATATTGCTGAGAGTGGTGTTAAACAGACAAAATTGTTGTCTAGTGAATCTGCAGACCCATAGAACTGACAGAATGATCTTCATATGAATCAGGGCCTTCAAGTCATTGTCCATAAGTAATGCATTATGTTTACCTATGCTCACTTCAGATGGAATCATTGAATATGGAAAATACTGTTCAACAATTTGCTTCCGATGCCGTTAACCAGTGACTACTTCTTACACAAGAGAAAGGTTTGTTGTGTTACATCATAGAATCGTTTACTGACTCAGTTCTATATACATCCATTAAGGCATCAAGGCATCTTTGTCATTGGCCTATTGCTAGAAGTTAAATGTCCCTTGACCTCCTTCATGTAAATTTCAAACACTCATAAGCATAGGCTACACATACACCATATTTTATATCATGGTGTGTCCATATTTGTATGCAAGCTATATTTAACTATCATTTATATGTTTTATGCATGATGCATCTTACTCGAAGATCTCTTATATCATGAAAATGCATATTGCAGATCATTGCACTACTGAGAGGCAGCATGGATAACAGTGTAAACAGCATGTCATCTTCACGTCTCGACATGCAGACAATTACAGCAGCTAAACATGATCAAAATAAAATCACACTTTATAATCTCATTCAACCATGGGAGTTGTAATTACCCCAGTTGTAAACAGGGCCAAATCACTTGTCCAGCGACAAAGTCTATTTGTCCCAACTATAGTCCCAAATGGTGCTTCATAAATAATTTACCGCTGATGAAGATCATCACACTTTTGATGCTGCAACTGATTCTGAGATGGAATTTACTGTCCATCTCAATGTGCAAAACTGATGCAAATCAGGTATCAAGCATGACATGGTTTAAGTTCGAAAGATCACTCAGATCTGTAGATTTTGGAAGTAAAATCATCTCCCCCCTCTGATTCTTATACATGAATGAACAGATCATGATGATTACTCCATAACAAAAAATAATAAATAATGACATTGTTAAAAGTTTTACTGCATGTAATTTTCATTTGAAGTCAATAAATCAATTTTCGTATCTCAGCGGGGTTTCCCACTTTGAATAATAAATTTGTTCATTGCTTGGATGTAATCAAACGAAAACCATGCATTCAAGCAGTTAGTGCAACCTGCCATGACTTCTTCCACTATGGATGTGTGGTACACGTTTTCAACAATCAGAGAGTGTGGCCTACAGCATGATTAAAGTAAACCATTAAACCGCGTACTGTTGGGATTGGTTTTACATTGTTTTCAAAGATACATTTAGTACTTGTTACAAATATTTATCGCTTTTTAGCACAGGGATGCTAAATGTGATGGTTCTCCACAAACAACTATAGCTGATATTTGTGTTTGTCAGGCAATCATAATTTCACATGCAATGTTGAAAACTGATTGGACACACTTATGAGCCACAAAAGCATTCAAGGCCTTTTTACAGTCCTCAGTGGCTATGATCATGCTTTTAAAGGCAAAATGAACAAACAAATATCCTTTCAAATACATTCATACATTGTTCCTTTCTTTCATCGTCTCAACATCTCCATTTGCAAGCCCAAATACCCTTTAAAACTTTAAGGCCACATGCCAGTGTTTCAAATTTGATATGCTTAACTGATAGAGTCATGCATAATATTGTTTGCATTATTGCCACACTCAGCAAATTCCAGCTATATGGCAGCAGTCTGAAAATAATCGAATCTGGACCAGACAATCCACTGAACAAATAATGCTAACCCGCGTCTTCACAGGTCCATAATACTGTCACATATAATCAGAGAAACAAGAACAGTAATAACAACATATGGACTTGTTAGAAATATCTGAGATACTAATAACAAATGAATCTTTTTCAAACAATTAAAAATATGGTCCATGTTTATAATCATATGAATACCGAAGTTGAAAATAAGCTAAAATCAGGACTCATGTGAGATGTATGATGGAACCCTGATGTATTCCATCTAAATAAAATCCAGTATTTCATGCTATATTACAAGAATACATTTCATTTTCCATAATTACCAATTTCAAGAGAATTTTGAACCAAAATGCATGTTTCAGCCTGTACAACAATCTAACATGCCTGTTTGAGCGAGTCAGCAATGTGATATTCATATTTCCACACGAGTGATTTAGCAGTTCATTCTTGCGGTTCATTTACCACCAGTCACATACATTTTTGGTTACCAGCCAACAACTAACAATAAGCTGACATGGACAAGATCGGGTAGATTAACTGGATCATGCTGAGAACGATGTAAGTCTCACTGACAGCTTGAACATACTGACCCATGTGAATAATACTGGTACTACTAGACATCATTCAGGAAACAAATCCAAAAAAACAGGTCCATTATGTGAACATTTACTGTGCTGCACTATACTGGGTACACTTACTTACATTTCAGTGAGCAATGGGTGGAACATATATATAACTCATGTTGGCAGACTGATGTCCTAACAATAGACCAACACTTTACTTTGAAACCATGGTTGCTATCACAAATAAACAGAGCTAGTTTAGAAATGTTTACCAAGTGTTAAGCACTCAGTTATTTCTTCCTGTCCAAACTTAGTAACTTGAAACTTTGTGATCCTGGTGTGGATTTTCCTCAAAGTACATTGAATTGATTTGTTAAAAGAGATCATGAAGACTTACCATAAAATCACAACTAACTCCAAGTATTCTAAAGAGGTGCCTGTTTCAAAAAGTTGTCAGATAGAGCCTTGTCAATGGAATTAAGTAAAAAAAGAGGTACATAATTCTGATAATTGCAAAGTGGTGCTGGAAGGGAAAGGGGAACCAAGGGCTAAGAATACAGTGGGGCTGGTAACCTAGCCTACCCTAACGACAAAAGGAATGCAAATTCTGAAATGTTAAAGCCATTTACCAGTCAAACACAATAAACACTAAATTAGCCTTGCCAATAAACCTTCTTCTGTAACTAACAATATCCTGTGAACATGGTAACAGTGGAGGTATTTCAACAAGTCGTATGATGAACTTTGTCATGTCTGCTGAGTTGATGTATGGTGACCTGTTTATTCTCAATAAAATCTTGTCACTCAGGAGACTGTACTGGATTCCGACTGCATACTGATCACAGAGATTGATATCTGCTTGACATGGCACCTGCCTTCATGCAGACATTAAGCAAACAACACTATGTGACTCAAACAATGTTAACTAATGCTGAAAGGTGGATCAATAAATCAGAGATGGAGAACATGTTTGTAATTGTAAATGACAAAATTGATGTGGAACACATGCAAACATCATGTTATAGGTTAAGATGGCCCAGCTTAGTTCACACTTTCAATGTCAAAGAAACAATCCTGACTGATCGGATTTGTTTAGGAACGTTTAATCTTTGGATGACAAACTCATGCCAACTGGCCATACTGACAGAAACAAATAAATTGATTATTTAGGCCAATATTGTTTTAGTAAATACATGGAATCAAAATAAGGTTCTGTTAACTGTGGCTGTTAAAGTTTGTTAACCATGCTTTGCAATCATCTGAGAAGCAAATTAACTTGAAACAATCATGAGATGTTATGTAACTGTAAGAACGGTACAATACATGTTAAAGTCACCAAAAACTAAATATTCTTTTCTTCCTTGAGATACCTTTAACACTGGGTTGGGGGGGTAGCTAAGTTTGTGCAATGTTAGATCTGTGTTATTTCCAACATGAGTTTTTTTCTGTTGCATGTTCCTGTCAGAACGTTTGGCATGTTGGGATTAATTTGACGTTTGCTAGTCATGACAATCACCTACTATTTGTCCTAAGGATATTCGATACAGCAAACACACTTCATAGACCTTCATATCCATTTACTGGACAAAACCGATTTTAATCAATCATACAAAGCCTGGACTTACGTTTGATCACCCAACTGTCATCAACAGAAATGATAAGTGTTGTGTTTCGTGACATTATCAACATCTAAAAATGACATTATTTGGCCATTACATTTTGGATACACAATAAGGTAATAATATTACAACTTACCTTCAGTTACTTCAAATCATATATTCCAGTAAAAAGAATTCCATCGTATTCTCACGTTGGTTGAAATATCGCATCATTAGGCCTGGTTAACATTTCGTTTCATTGGACTCGAGACCTTCGGTTCAGTGTTTGGGCTATGGCAATCTCGTTCTGGCGAGATTTGGAACAACATGCCACATGATAATAGAAATAGCATACAACTACGTTATTCTGTTAATTTATGTTAATGAAAGCTGGAAATGTATGATTTAATGTACATCTTTAACAATAATTATTAAATAAAACAAAAATTATTATGCTGTGACCTTGACCTTTAGGGTGGGTAAATTGTAAACTTGGTGCTCATTGGTTAATTTCAATTTGTACGCCATTTTGCCGCCATTTCAGTCGAAAATCATAATGTCTGACACCGAAAAAACCGATGTTGCCCCTCAAAAGGAGGTATTAAATGGGCTTGTCTTCAAGTGCATTTTGTTTTATACAAATATGTGAATACGGAAATCAAATTTGGTGTAATATGCCATGATGGTTTCTGAGATATCGTTTGTTAAAATCGACACATTGCCACACGCCGTCAACACGTTGTTTTTATTTTCAACACATTATTTTTGTGAACTACGCATGTTATCTTACGTACTAAAGCGATCAGTTTCGCATGTCAAATGCTGGGAACCATTACTGGAGGTTATTTTTATATGTTGATCTGAATTTCGTTGCATTTACTATTTCGTTTTCTGCGACGATCGGATTTTAAACCAAGCGATATGAATGAATCTGTATTGTTGATAAGAATGGTGCCTTTACGCTATATCATTACAATCAAGAAGCAATTTAAGCGTCAGTGTTTTAAACAATACTCAAGCTTTTCGAAAAATTGAAGATGAATCTATGACATAATCTATTTTTTATTCTGTTAATAAACATTCTGAGCTGTTGTACTTATATTTACAAGTTGCTGATGCCTTTTAGCACATGTCTTGAGGACCTTTGTGAGTTCATACAAAACAGTTTTGTTATCTTGTTGTATCCACTACTAGATTTTTGTTTTGGAATGTTATGTGTGATTGATGTGTACTTTTAATTTGTTTCTAAACAGGAGGAAGATGTTGAAGAAGACGCTGACGAGTCGAAAGACGATGAAGAAATGAAAGAACTTGAAGATTCAGAAAAAGAAACAGAAAAAGCTGACACAAAGGTAGAGGAAGAGGTGGAAATGGAAGATGAACCTGAATCAAAACCTGAGCCTGTGGAGGCATCGCCAAAGAAGTCTCCAAAGAAGAGAAAAAAGGTGGAGAAAGAGGAAGAAGATGATGAAGAAGAGGAAGAACTGCCATGTAAGACAGTATACCTTTTAACAACACTCTCCTTGGCTTCTTGAAAAATGGAAAAACATGTGGATATAGCAATCAGTAGTCAGTATTCTATTTCGATAACAGCACCTCCTAAACCATGGAATATTTCTCATAAAAAAAATGCTGCCTAGTTCAGTCTAGTGGTGAAGTGGTTCCTTCTGGTAATTTGGAATTTTTATATTTTTACATTTTTCATGGACTTTACTGGAAATGCGAGTGGATTTGTTTATAGATCAGTACTCCCAAAATGTTGAATATTTCTTGTCAAAACTTCCTAGTCAGATAATTCTAAAGGTGAAGTGGTGCCTTTTTATCATTAGGGACAGTGGGGTTTAGGTAGCCAAACTCTTTGCGACTGCCTCCTAGGTGTAGTGGTTAAAGAGTCCACCCAGAGTGGAACGTTGCGGGTTCGATCCCTGGCCGTGTCATACCAAAAGACGTTAAAATATGGTACTTGTTGGTCCCTGCCTGGCGCTCAGCATTAATAGGCACAACAAGAACTGGTCGGCTCGGGAGTCAGTATAATGTGTCTGAGTAGAGTATTCATGCTTAACTGTAGCATGATATCTCAGTGAGCTAACGCTATAAAACCAGCCTAAGACTGGGCTAGTACCAGCAGCCACACATACACATGCATGCACGTCTTCATATGAGCGAAATATTCTCAAGTACAATGTTAAACCCCTTTTCACCTCACCTCACCTTTCTGAATTGCACCGACCAAACCCTTGAGGATACCCTGTCTCTTGATGACCCATGTTCACTTATGTTAGGAACCACAAAGTGAGGATGGGGGTACGTGTACAGCCCACAAACTAGTAACAAACTAGAAAACGAATAATACCAGATTTTATGGCTTTGCAACTTCTTTATTTCAACTGATGCGTCATTCTGGTGTAAATACTAACACCATTATCAAGCACTTCAAGAAGTAACATTGACATTTCATAGCCTACCAAATTGTTAAAATCTGCTTGTTCGAATTTGAACTTGTTGAATGTTGTCTTTTATATAATTGACCTGGGTCCTCTTCCACAAAGTCATCTTAGCCCTGCCATTATCTAAATTCAATGTAAAGGTATGAGTTTTGTTTGTCTTGGTGTGTTTATGTGATAGTTTCTGTTTGCCTCGCTGTGTGTATTTTTGTGTTTCTTATTTCCATCCTCAACCATTAACTTACATGTTCATACATGTATATGCTCTCTGCCTCATACCATTCATTCACCTGATGAAGGAGTAAGGATAAGGATGTACTGGGACGATACACTATGATACGATACATATTGCAATATTTTACCTACGATACGTCTCTCGATACATACACCTTGAAAGACTGGCACAGTATTATGATTAAAAATGATTTATTTCAAGGTATTTGTGTAACAATAACACTATTGTAATAAACAAGCAAGAAACTCCATCATACTTGCCTATTTTTCTCTAAATAAGTACTTTAACATGTTTAAGATAAAACTGTTTTGAAAAGAAGTTGTGTATCGTTTTGTATCGATACCCCAGTCGACGATATGATAGCTGTATCAAACTTAAATGTATTGCGATGTATCGGTGCATCGTCCCAGCCCTACAAAACATTGTTCTTCATAATAAAGAAGTTGATATCCATAAAAACATTAACAGAGCACCCTTTAGAAGCCAAGGGGTTTCTTTTTATTAAGAGTAGCCCAGAATATGATAAGCACATGTATGTTAACTCCAGGCTAAGACTTCACTATGAAATGAAACAAGTGAATTGAGATAAATTCATGGAATTTCAAAAGTTATACTATATGTTTGATGAAAACACAGTTGATAAATTTCAACTTTTTAAAATTCTTTTTAATGGTATATAACTGTACCAGCATCTGTAACTAAATGTGTTTAAAAAGTAAAGGAATTGAAATACATAAACCATCTCTTGTCTTCGTGGGCAGTGGGATAGCCTTGTGGTTAAAGTGTTCACTCATCCCTCTGACCTGGGTTCGATTCCCCACATGGGTACAATATGTGAATCCCATTTCTAGTGTTCTGTGCCGTGATATTGCTGGAATAATGTAATAATAGTGGAGTAAAACCACACTCACCCCTCTTGTCTTCATTGGTAACTGGGGCGGTGGGGTAGCCTAGTGGTTAAAGCGTTGGCTCGTCACGCCATAGACCCGGGTTCGAATCCCTTCATGGGTACAATGTGTGAAGCCCATTTCTGGTGTCCCCCGGCGTGATGTTGCTGGAATATTGCTAAAAGCGGCGTAAAACCATACTCAGTCAGTCATTGGTAACTTGTGCTTGGACTATGGAAATTAGATATTTACTTGTGTGACAATCTGAAAGAGATCTGACATGTTAGGTATAGTTTTACAACCCTGACACCGTCTTTGCTGATGAATTCATATAAAGAGGATGCCAGGCATTTACTCTTAAGTAAGAATTACCATTTTTTTATAATGTTCTTCGCTCAAAACATCCTGTACATTCAACATATAAAAATTAGCCTGAAAATTTGTTTTCACTTCGAGTAGTAATAACATTATCAGTGTATGAAATAAGCCAAAAATCCAGCCAGACATCAGGGCTGGTAAGTTCAAAATGTTACCACCCCAAAATGGATTTAACCAGACCAGACACCAAGATATGGTGAATTTGCTCAGATGTATGGAACATCTAACAAAAATTACCAGACTATCGGGCTGGCTAGCCCTAAATTTAGACCCATACGATTTTATCATATTCGTTACGAAAAACAACAAAAAATATGTGACTACGATAGCAGTAAAAATATACGATTTAAAAAAAAAATACATTAAATTAAATTATCAAATAGCATACGTACCATACACAATAAATTTCGATCACATTATATTCAGTATCAAGCTATATGTGGATACTTACTACTGATTTAGTTGAGTATAACGTTAATAACAAGGTCTTAGGCTATCTATTTATTTTTGTTATTTAATATGAAAAGTCTTTGGAAAAGTGAATACTAATTTTGGCCAACAAATACTAATTTTTGATTCAGCTTTTGGCCCAATACCAATTGGGTTAAATTAGGGTTGGCATCTCTGGATTTATGTGAGTTTCCATCTCTCTGTTTCTGGTAATAGCTACTCCGCATTGAATATGGAAGGCCAGGAGATCAGTGACACCTTGAGCCATTTTCGGAGAAGATGTTAAACGTATCAGAATGGAAGTACTTTATATGTATTGTTTTTAACTTGTTTGTAGTGGGCTTGTTGGAGAGGCCTGTGGTGATTGAATCTGGAAAGAGAGAGAAAAAGAAAGTGGAAAGGTTGGCGATGACCATGACCTTTGCCCCTCAGCACAGGAAGAAAGTTGACGTGCCTGAAGGAAGTGGAGCGAAGCTTGGAGAATGCCCCAGAAGTAAGCGGTACAGCCAGTGATTGAAATAAAGGATAGCACTTGTTTTTCTGTGTATCACCCGTAGCTTACATCAACATGATCAACTAATAGCTTAGACCCAGAGTTAACGCTTGAGCTATTGGTCGGATGATCAATCAGTTATTTAGTGTGAAAAGCCAAAACGATTATCGTTCAGCTGAAAGTGAAAGGTATGCAGGTGTGGTAAAATATTTTTGAATGTCATTGTATATGCAAGTCACTCTTTAACAGTGGCACCGGGGTAGCCTAGTGATTAGAGCTTTGCTTGTCATGACAAAGACCCAGGTTTGATTTCCAACATGCATATGATGTGTGATGCCCAATCTGGTGTACCCCTCCATGAGATCGCTGGGACACCTGTGAATATCCGGGTTAGAATTAGTCCTCAGCAATCTATGCTTGTTGTAAGAGGTGACTAACAGGATTGGGTTGTCAGGCTTGTGGACTTGGTTGACATATGTCCCAGTTGTAGATCGATGCTCATGATGTTGATCACTGGATTGTCTGGTTGAGACTTGATTATTTGCAGACCGGTTAAAACAACAAACAAAATACTGAATGCAGCTTAAGACCTTGCTCACATCACAAGATGTACATGTGCTTGCTTACTTCCAGTCTTACATACAAGTGTCATTTCAACAAAAGTTGGAATGGATGTGATATAATTTAAAAGTAAACAGTTTTGGTTTTCAGGTTTCTGATTATTTCATTTTGAAAGATGTTGGCTATACTGAAACCAAAATTGTCCTGTAGATGTTTCCAAGTTTGGTAGGTGTATAGAAGAGTGTCCTAATATCTCATGTCTCAGTGTCTCTGATGAAATTCCTGTAAGATTTCCTTCATTGTTTTCAGTTGAATACAAAATTGCACACTTGAAGGCAGATGACTTGAAGCCGTTACATCGAATAGTGTTTGGAAAGAAGGGAACTGTGAGTAAATCTACAGCAACATTCTAGCCGCTCAGCAGATGTTTGATAACACTGCTGTTGAATGCTACAGCTGTGAAGACAGATATTTTTGCCCTGTGTTTACTTGTCTAGCTTAACTGTGATAATACAGCCCTGTCAGTAGGCCACCTTCGGGGTTCGGGATTAGAATTGGTCTCCCTCAACCTATACTTCAGGGCTCTAGATAAGGACCGTATCGGCATATATGCGGATAAAAAATATCCATGCTACTGTAGGAAATATTTTAGAAAACGTAGCAGATGCGCACCACAGCAATGGTGTATGGTCTTAGAATCATTTACAGACGTATTTATCTAAAACATATCAATCTGATTTCAAGCAGTGTCCCATCTTTGAATTTAGGTGATAGCAACACTTTGGGGGTTTCCCATGTCATGTTTTTTGAAATCCTGGTTGCTACAGTTAAATTTGATCAGTCAAAATTGCGCACGTGTATGTAAACATGGCGGCACAGAAACAAATTACAAGTTTCTTATAGAACACTCCATTAATTCCATTCAGGACTTCAGTGAATGTACACTTAAGGTTTTCCAGTACTCCTATATTGACAAAATAAGGAGTATGTACTCCTGATGTTGAAAAAGTTTGGAGCCCTGATACTTGTCATGAGACCTAAAGGATTGAGGATAGAGGTCAGTGACATGGGTAGGGTTGTGTCGAGGTATCCCAATGGCAGGGATCTTTTCTTATGTAAATATGGATCATTGGATTATTTATATGCTTCTGACTGGGGGATTTACTGGCTACCATCATGCAGCTGGAGTATTACCAAGTGGAGCTTTGATGATGGTCAGACCCTGGTTGCATATCTGCAGGGATTGGGATACTAGATTAAAATGTCCTGTGGTAATTCAGAGAAAAGAGCTCTGTTTTCCTCATGAGAGTTGAATAAAACATGGATCTTTACTAGCCTTTACTTTCATATATCTTAAAAATGATGTGGCATTTTACCCTGATGACGTGGGGTCTTCATTGTGTTATTAACCACTGGTTTGTCTGGCTCACATGTAATCTTTACTAGCCTTTACTTTCATATATCTTAAAAATGATGTGGCATTTTACCCTGATGACGTGGGGTCTTCATTGTTATTAACCACTGGTTTGTCTGGCTCACATGTAATCTTTACTAGCCTTTACTTTCATATATCTTAAAAATGATGTGGCATTTTACCCAGATGTTATCTTTTACTAGCCTTTACGATGACGTGGGGTCTTCATTATGTTATTAACCACTGGTTTGTCTGGCTCACATGTAATCTTTACTAGCCTTTACTTTCATATATCTTAAAAATGATGTGGCATTTTACCCAGATGACGTGGGGTCTTCATTATGTTATTAACCACTGGTTTGTCTGGCTCACATGTAATCTTTACTAGCCTTTACTTTCATATATCTGAAAATTTTTATCCACTTCTTAAAATATGAAAAAATGTTAAAATGAGTATTGTGTGGGGTTTGGTTAAAGATGTCCAATTTTGTTTCAGTCACAAGAAGTGAAAAAGAATCTGCGACAGTTTTGTGGGTTTTCCTTTTCAAAAGAAGACAAAGAGTATGACAAGAGAGTTTCTATCATTGGCAAGTAAGATATATTTTCACAGATGCAGGGATTGCAATGTATTCTGTTTTCAGGAGGATCAATTACTTTGAAGAGTCTCAAGCTCATTAAAATCAGATCTGTTATTCCTTTATCAATAACTTTCTGTGTTACGGTTTGAAGCCTCCTCCACAGGAGGTGAACCCTAATGAACTTGGCCAATCTAAATAATGAATACAGTTGGGTTTCGTACCAACCAGATTAGTTTCCTTTAACAATTAGACTTCGTTTTTTCAGCCTCAATTTGGAAATTTACTGTCAGAAATGACATGACATGTCTAAATATATATTTCTACTTTTTCATTTTAGAGGCACAGAAATCACATGTGCCGGTTTGAATGCTTTGTTCACTTGAACTCTGACTTGAAAAACCTTGATGCTGATTAATTAAAAAAAAAAACTGACACAAAGTACTATGGGGAGTCATTGGTAGTGGTGTCTTCCCTTCTCCACATGACCACTCAGAATGATATTCTTGATGTGCAGGGAATCATAGTAAAAATTTCGTAAGAGCATGAACTTGAGTGGGTTGTTCATGTGTCATGCAGCAATACATTTCTAAGAAATTTACTTATGTCAATCATTCAGTGCATATTGCTCATCTGCAGCCTTTAGCCTATAATAGATGGGGAATTTCAGTACTACTAGACTGAAGAACATCAACCAGTGATAGTTAAACCATGAGTGAACTTCTGACCTGAATAGAAATGTTGGTTATATGTAACATTCAGTCTACAATTTTGATAAATTTAATGACTCAATCAGCCCCATTAGCCTGATATCTCATGAACTGTTGTACCCAATGTCTTCAAATTTGGTGACAGCCTACATTGGGGGATTACGCAGACACCAGTCGATTTGGGTGACCATGACCTTATTTTCAAGGTCACCACGACACTTTGACCACTTTTCAAACTCTTCTTAGCGTGATATCTCATGCACTGTTGTACCCAGTGTCTTCAAATTTGGTGACAGCCTACATTGGGGGATTACACAGACACCAGTTTATTTTGATGACCTTGACCTTATCTTCAAGGTCACCACGACACTTTGCACGCGTTTAACTCTTGTTAACGCGATATTTCATGGACTGTTGTACCCAATGTCTTCAAATTTGGTGACAGCCTACATTGGGGGATTTCACAAACACCAGTGGATTTAGGTGACCGTGACCTTATCTTCAAGGTCACCACGATACTTTGACCGCTTTTTAAAGGCGATATCTCATAAAACATTGCACCCAATGTTTTCAAGTATGTTGACAGCCTACATTGGGTGATTATGCAGACACCAGTCATTTCAGGCATCTTGTATGTGACCCAAAAATAAAAAGTAGTAAATATAGATATTCCATTCTTTAGCGGCGGGGGACATTGCCATATCAGTGGCAAACACTTGTTTGTAATCCTTTCTGAATTAAGAGAAGTACTACTTTGCATCCAGTAACAACCCTGTTTTTGTTATCCCCCGCAACACGTTTTGCAGGGGATATTAAAATGGACTCCGTCCGTGGTCCGTCCGTCCGTCCGTGCACATTTGTCTTTTCCGGAGCAGAACTCTAAAACCGTTCACTATTTCTTCACCAAACTTGGCACATACATGGATCTGGTGGTGTACTGGTGCCTTTTGGTAGTTTTGGAATTCTGAATAAAATATTTTGGCGTTTCCATGGCAACAAGTTTGACTTAGCCTGAAATTGTGGTAGTGCTCTTTTCCGGAGCAGAACTCTAAAACCATTGACTATTTCTTCACCAAACTTGGCACATAGATAGATCTGGTGGTGTATTGGTGCCTTTTGGTAGTTTTGGAATTCTGAATAAAATATTTTTGTCATTTCCATGGCAACAAGTTTGACTTAGACTGAAAATGGTGATAGTGCTCCTTTCTGGAGCAGAACTTTAAAAACCTTTCAATACTCTCCTTCCACTTTTCTATATACACACCTAAATATTTGACATAATCATACCTCGTAGACATAATCATGAAGAGTATTTTGCCATTACGGGGGATATTGATGACTTTGTCTTCTTGTTTGTACAGAATCAGTGATGACAGAGATGCCAACCACTCCGATTTTGGCGGGGTTTCTCCAATTTTCAAATACAAAATCTACTCTCCGATTTCTCTTTAAAAACTCTGATTTTTCAGAGGTATACAATTTCGTAAGTCACCAGTGATTTATTTGAGTCGACACCGGTAAAAGCATTCGGAAGCTTAGTGTGTGATCATTTTGGTGTCGATTGTGTATATTGCGTGTTATTGACTATGAAGTTTCACAAAGTTTTTCTGAAAGGCATGTCATGGTTGGTATGAAAGTGAAACAAAATGGCAGAGCCGACCGCACGCTCACCCCCAACCCCTCAGGCCTGGCTTTCAGCCAGTCATGACTCTGATTTCCTTAGATTCAGGGTTGGCATCTCTGTGATGAGTTATGTGAGGATTCTGTATAGATAGGTTGACTGTAGATATGCTAGATGAAGGAACACTGTATGACGATTCAAGAGAACAATCGCCTTTTGCCTGTCCACTGTGGGCAAGTTGTCCTTGATTATTTTCCAAATGGGATGGTTCGGTTTCAGATTAACGCTCCCGGTGTTGAAGACAATCTGTGAGGTGCTTGACCTTGAGAGGTCAGGGGTCAAAGACGATGTGGTCCAGAGGGTCATGGACTTCCTCATGAACCCATCCGACTCTGGCAGGAAAGTACCAGAGCCCAAAAAACGTACAGTACTTTACTATAGTATAACACACAGACGTTTTTGCTAGAAGAGCTATCTGTTATAAAGTTCAGGTTGTTACGGTGTGTTCAACATTTTGTGTCATGGATGTTATGGATTGTTGCTTCCACATGATTTATTGCAAGTTCAAATGCAACATGCAGATCCTATTTGCTACATGTAATTATTTCTCAGCAAGGTCAGTCACTGCCATTTTGGTTAAAGGGATAGCCGAGCATGGAAGGAAACTCATTTCTGTGTTTCTGCTATTTTGGATTATGCTTTGTTTTCTAAATGTTGATTGTTTTTCCAGGGGGTCGGGCTTCGAAGGAGAGGCGGGACAAGGGAGTGAAACGAAAGCGAGCGGAAAAGAAAGAGGGCAAGAAGAAAAAGAAGAAAACGTCAAAAGAAGATGTGGAGTCTGAGAACGATGAGGATGAGGATGAAGATGATGAGGAGCCAGAGGAAAATGATAAGGATGAGGATGATGATGCAGATGAGGATGGTGATGCTGAAGAGGAGGAAGAAAGCGAGGAAGAGGTACATAGGGTTGAAATTATTATACTTTCATGAGCACGTTTGACTAGGACATGTTCACCTACAGCACTGGTTGGCTCTGAGTGAGTGGACTGTGCTTGAATAGGATATCATGTTGAACTGTAGCATGGTACCGACCTGTTAACTCGTATGGTTACGTCATCATTGTTACGGATTTGAATAAAAAGATCCTGGTGACAAAATTATAAGAATATCATACCAATCAAGTTTTTAACTGATTTCACTGTTATTTGTAAAATGCGCAAATGGAAACAATACCTTATCAAAATACATTTTCAAATTTGTATTGAACCAAGTTTCTAAGAGAGTACTACAACTGTTGAATTAAAAGCAATAAACAAGGGCTAACGAAAAGACTGATAACCTTGGTTGCTCTATGTCAACTACAGTTTAGCATTTAAAACACAAGGATTCATGCCATTAGACCTAGTTGTCTCTTTTTGTCCTCAATGAAGGATCAGTCAGTTGACCATTATTAAGTTCTGAGATTGACCTGTTGGCATGCTGATAGAAAAGACAACTGACAAATAGCTGAAACAACTGACAGATTCTAAATGTCGTAGGACAACATCTCAGTGTGCTTGCACCATGAAAGCAGCATTTGTCCGGACTAGTGCAAGCAGACACATACACACTCAACATTATATCCCATTGCACCTCAGATCTGAAAACTCTGGTCCAGGGGAGACAACTCATCAAATATTCGAGTGGTAAAATTGTTAGACTGATCAAATGTGTGAAATGATACCAAAGGCTGGTAATTGTGTACATATTGATCCCGAAGTTGGCAGCAAACCTAATTTGAATGAAAAATGTCGCTATTTCTCAGAATTTAAGGAAATAATGTCATTAAGCAATCAATTTTTTGAAAATATAACACTGTTTTCCCCAATTTGCCAACAAAATGCACTTAAGAATTCTAGATAAATTCCTGAAAGCATTCCTCATGTTGATGGGATTTTATTAGATCTATCCTTTTTAAGATAAATATTTTCTTTACATAAAATTTACAGATTGCAAAATAACTCAATTACCCAAATATGACTGCCAAGAAAGCATACCATTGAATCTAAGGCCATTGTAAGATATCTCTTAGGTTACCAACCCTACTTACAGCACACGTGTGCAGTGGGTACTAATTCAGTCTACTTGTGAATGTTTTCAGGTACCCAAAAAGAAAAAGGCAAAGTTGGAAACGCCCAGGAAGCCTAAAGAAGAGAAAAGGGAAAAGAAAGAAAATGACAAGAAGGAGAAAAAAGAGAAGGCAGCGAAGAAAGCAGAAAAGAAAGAATCAAAGAAGAAGAAAGGTGAGAATACAAACTGAAAACTATACCAGTGATCATTGTGCTTCACATGGCAGTAATCGTCTGGATTTGCTCATAAAGTAGAAATATACATCTGTGAGCTTACATTCTGGCCCTTTGTCGATCTGTCAGTTAACACTGAACTAAAAACGCCTTCTTTCTCAAACCTCCTGGGCATGAATGTCCGTTTCAGACAAAGAAAACTTTCGTTTGTACAAGCCTTCTAAATTTCTTAACCCCAGAAATCCTAAACATGTTATTTTCAGTTTTTGAAAATAATAGATATTCTGAAGAAACCTCTTTACAGTATAAATACAGTAAACTTGTTATTTTGAAATATTAAAAAATGTTGTCATGGCATTTGTTTGGAGGGTGTATGTTATTAGTAGATCACAAAGATTTCTCTACCACCTGTTTACTGTAAAACTGCTTTATGGTGTAGTTGATAGAGTATATGACCAGAGAGGATGTGGTTCGATCCTCTGTCTTTTTGGGGGCGGTGGGGTAGCCTAGTGGTTAAAGTGTTCGGTTGTCACGCTGAAGACCCGGATTCGATTCCCCACATGGGTACAATGTGTGAAGCCCATTTCTGGTGTCCCCTGCCGTGATGTCGCTGGAATATTGCTAAAAGCAGCGTAAAACCATACTCACTCTGGCTGTGTCACAAACTATAGTAAAAAGATGGTTCTTGTTAGCTTGCCGGGCGTTTACCGTGTCTGGCATGAAGGGGATAAAACCAGGAGTAAGAATGATGTGTCTGAGTGGGGCATCCATGGTAAACATGATATCACAGTGGGAAGCACAAAAGACTTCATTTGTCCTTACTAGTACAAGGATCCATACACACACGTGCGTGTATGCTTGGTTGGTTTTCGCTTTACACGGCACTCAGCAGTATTCCACCTATATGGCAGCGGTCTGTAAATAATCAAGTCTGAACCAGAGAATCCAGTGATCATCATTGATCTAATTTGGATACAATGACACGTGTCAACCAAGTTGGTGAGCGTAACCAACTGATCCCGTTAGTCGCCTCTTACAACAAGCAAGGGTTACTGAAGACCAATTAATATGAGTGAAAACCTGTAAACCCCATTTTGTTTCAACTGATTACTGTTCTAGACAGTTAACTACTCCCGGTGATATGATATGATATGACATGGCATTGCTTTGCATCCGGTGAAATATTTGGCTTATGATTGGTTGCTGGATTTTCTGATGCACTGATCTCCCCAGACACATGTTATCTCCCAGAAAAGGCCAAAAGTTGAAGAAGCTTTGGTCGAAAGTTTATGGTCAATTTTTTGGCTGTCTTGCGTTCAAAAGCAAAAGAAATGTTTCCATAAATGTCTGCAGTTTGTAAATGTAGCTTTGTTTGTTTACAGTTGAAGAGGAATCAGACGAGGATGATTCAGAAGATGAAACATTAGGATCAAAGAAAACAGGACCACCAAATGTGAGTTCTTCTCAGAAGTGAAAGTTTTAATGTTAGGGCCTTCAGCAGGCAAGTTATCTTAATTAAAACTTGGAAATGTTTTTGAAAATCTTTTTTTTTTTTTTTTTGTTGGCGATGTAACATGAATGGAATTTTGTTTGTTTTCTCCCCCTATTCAGATTCTTTTAACTGAAACTTTTGCCTTTAGCAAGTCCAAATAATTCCCTGACTATGTATTTGACTAAGAATGTGTATCCCTACATAAAGCTGTTATTGAGGAATGATACTATGTGTTACAATACTAGAGTGCTAGAGTCACAATATGTTACTTATTGTTGCTATGAATATATTGTACTTTTTTTTTAGTGAACAAGACATAATATTTAGGGCTAGGACGATACACTATGTCACTATACGATACATACCTCGATATTTTACCTGCGATACAATATGTATCACGATAATACACCTTGAAAGAATGACACGGTATCAAGATTTAAAATGATTCATTTCAAGGTATTTGTGTTTAACAATAACACTATTGTAATAAACAAACAAGTAACTCCATCATATCTGTGTATTTTTCTCCAAACAAGTACTGTAACATGTTTTAGATAATACTGTTTTGAAAAAAAGTTGTGTATCGTTTTGTATCGATACACCAGTCGACGATACAATAGCTGTATCAAACTTAAATGTATCGCGATGCATCGGTGAATCGTCCCAGCCCTAATAATATCAACCCGTAGATTTGTACTCCAAACACTACACAAAGCATCTTTTCTTACACATAGAGAATGTGTTTATTTGTCTTTGTGGAACATTTTTGACTGATATAACCAACTGATATATTCAAAGTTGTCATTTGAGACATAAGACTGATCTTCATGAACACAATTTTTCAGTTTATCTTACCACTTTTGTTTCTTCTTGCAGAATGATGAATTGCGTGACGTTGTTAAGAAAATTTTAGATGGTGCCAATTTGGAAGAGGTGACAATGAAAACAGTCGTAAAACAGGTAATTTAGTTGGTTATCAGATCAAAATGTCTAATCTTTGTGTGAATATAGAAGTTGTGTGTTATTGCATGGATTGTTTTTCTTTTTTACATAATTTTGAACTCAGTGATTATCAACTAATTTGAGAGCAAACAGTAAATGAGAAACTGATTTGTTTCAACATGTTTCAGTGATGTTCATATTGTAATATCACAACTGACAATTTACGCCTTTTGGCCTCATGCAGTCCTGTGCTGTGTTGACCCGTGAAGGGCCAGGTTAGAATGAACCTTCAGTAACCCATGCTTGTCGTAAGAGACGACTAACAGGATCGGGTGGTCAGGCTCGCTGACTTGGTTGACACATGTCATCAGTTCCCAATGGATCGATGCCCATGCTGCTGATCACTGGATTGTCTCGATTATTTACAGATTGCCGCCATATAGCTGGAATATTGCTGAGTGTGGCGTATAACTAAACTCACTCACTCATTGTGCTGAGTTGTCCCTTAGTTGTGACAGTTTCTGCTGGAGTGGCATGATGATGATGATGCTTGGTAGTGAACGCCTACTACCTGCATCACTTTCGCAGACACCTTGTGTTGTTCTGAAATACTATTCAAACGTTAAGAAGCTTGATTTTTCACTTCGCTTTGCATTGTTGTCCCCCGCCGCAACGCAGAACGGGCGACTGTATTCAGCGGCGTACATACGTCCCAATTCTTGTTAATGCGATATCACATGAACTGTTGTACCCAATGTCTTCAAATTTGGTGACAGCCTACATTGGGGGATTACCCAGACACCAGTCGATTTGGGTGACCATGACCTTATCTTCAAGGTCACCACGACACTTTGACCACTTTTCAAACTCTTGTTAACGTGATATCTCATGCACTGTTGTATCCAGTGTCTTCAAATTTGGTGACAGCCTACATTGGGGGATTACACCGACACCAGTTGATGTGGGTGACCATGACCTTATCTTCAAGGTCACCACGACACTTTGCACACTTTTAACTCTTGTTAACGCGATATCTCATGGACTGTTGTACCCAATGTCATCAAATTTAGTGACAGCCTACATTGGGGGATTACACAGACACCTTCAAGGTCACCACGACACTTTGACCGCTTTTTAAACTTATTTAAACGCGACATCTCATAAAACATTTCACCCAATGTTTTCAAGTATGTTGACAGCCTACATTGGGTGATTATGCAGACACCAGTCATTTCAGGCATCTTGTATGTGACCCAAAAATAAAAAGTAGTAAATATAGATATTCCATTCTTTAGCGTCTGAGGACATTGCCATATCAGTGGCAAACACTTGTTATATTTGTATTAATGGAACTAATTTTCTGAATGGAAGTTTAACTTCTGTTTCAACAGTTATTTCCCCATGTTACTGCATGTAAATAGAATCTTGTTCCAAAAATTGTCAACAAATCAGGTGTGATGCATCAAAAACATTGGCTAAAGTGAACGTCAAATTCTGCTGGTCTTCCATCAATTGCTACTATATAAACTAGTTACCAATTTCTAACCAAATCAACTTACTTAATGTATAGATAATACACCCAAACTTCTGGACCACTTCTGTGATATGTAAACAGTGTTATAAACGTCATCAATTATTGTTTCTAGTGTATTTTTAGAAAATTGCTCTGTGGGATGGCAGGGATTGAAATTATTTGGCTAGTAAACATACTTGGTAAATTTCCATCCCTGAGGTAGGCACCTCCTGTATGAATGAATCTTTGCTTCTGTGGACCATGTTTACAAGATTGTATCCAAGACCTTAATACCTTGTTATCTTTCAGGTTTATGCAAAGTATCCAGATTTTGATTTGTCAGACAAAAAAGAATTCATCAAAAACACAGTGAAACAGGTACGCCATTACTTCATTTTGTGACAGACTTTCATGCTTCATCTCTATGATAATATGCTAATATAGCAAGTGAAAAGACATTTGGTTCCAAGTTCATAATATTCATATCATGTATTAATTTTGAGCATTTCAGTGGGGTTTGCTCTAAAATCTTTGGGGTGGTGGGGTAGCCTAGTGGTTAAAGCGTTTGATCGTCACGCCGAAGATCCGAGTTCAATTCCCAAAAAGGGTACAATGTGTGAAGACCATTTCTGGTGTCTCCTGCCATGATATTACTGGGTTATTGCCTAAATATAGAAATTAGAAACTCCAATTGTTTTTGTCGATTTTCACAACTTTCTAAACAAACGAACTGATTTTATTTTCAGCTAATATCATGAGAGCAGTGAGGAATGATGTTGGTGAAATGGCAGCCAATCATAATGAAACGTACATACGCACGAGGGCTGGACAATTCTGTGAAGACAGCCGCTCCAAGAGTGTGTTGGAAATCATTGCATAACTCAGTAGGGACGAACCACACCGACGAACCACTAGTGAAATGCTGGAGTCGTCGGTAGATCCTTGTATAGACATTTATCATGGAACATCTGTCACCTAGATTTTATTTTTCATCATCACAATCTTAGCTTCATTTTGAATTTCCAGCTTTTACTCTCATCGATGCCACTCTTATCACCCATTGTCGATTTTAATCTGTTTTAATGGAATTGTAATATATGTGATGATGATGATGATGATGATCATGTGCTTCAGCCACACCCATGGTTTTAATATGTTTCCAGGCAACGGGAGAGACTTGGTGTCTATCTTGTTAATATCGTCTGTTCCGATCTCATGGAGAACAGTGCTTGCAATTGACACACACTGTCTGCAATGGACACACTTGGTGTGAAATAGATGCTCCCCATGTGAAATTGACACACTGTAATTGACACTGTGTGAAATTCACTCTCCCCGTCTGAAACTTGTGAAGCTATTTTTAATGAATCTCATGTTTCTTTTTAGTGTCCTTTACATGAAACAAATGATCGTTAAGCTGAGGGATTTATTCGTGATCAATAAGATTTGATTGGTGAACAAAATCCCTTCTTACATATACATTGTTAATTTGTATTTCCCATTTACCTTGTTACAGTTGTTGATTTCAAGCACTGTGAGAAATATACCAATACCAGGTGTAAAATGTACCAATAAGACATGTGCCTCAGCGTGTTCCAAGCCTAAACCTGCTTATGGTGTCTAACTTCAAACCTCGGTGTAATCATTCATTAAGTCCTTAGTATGTATTTCCATGAGTTAAGAATTAGACTGCACAAGTTCTGCTCAATCTATTGTGAATTTTTTTTCTCTTTAATTTGTTATGCTTGGTTTGGTAGTGAACCATGTTCAATGCATGGCTTGGGTAGCCATCAAGTGCTTAATCCCAAATGAGGCACATTGTGTGCTATTTTTTAGACGTGAGAGTTCCCTACCCTTAGATCCTTGCATTAGGTTTGTATATACTACACAAAAGAAGTTAAGGAACACCTGATTCTTTCATAGAGTTTAGTAATAGTAATTATGGAAGAATTGTGTTTGTTGACTTCTTTGAGTAGTATAGTGTACTGTAAAAGGGCATTCCATTGTGGCATTGGTCACGTTATTTCAAGTCTTCTAGCCTTTTAGTGTCCTTGATGGCTACCTCTAAAATCTGTATACCTTAGGGGCAAGTGCAGCAGGAATTTAGACTCACAACATCAGAGTTTTGTCATCATCTTGTGGATTAGGAGTTGAATTAATGTGAAGGATGGAGCAGAAATGGTTTTGACTGGGATCGTCTGAGGCTGGGCCACTATGTATGGGATTGAATGTAGTTTTCTGGGAAGTAGTGTTTAGTCTCTGTATGGTTTACTGCTGTCTTTGAAGCCAAGCTTTAATAACAGTATACTGGTATGTTAAACAAGGTTCTGTATTTTGGTCATTGTCAAAGAGTTTTGCTGAATATTCTCTTCAATGTGTAAGAGCTTCCCCAGTAGTCTAGTTCTTGTATCTGTCTAATATTTATTTTATCTTCTGTTAAAAGAAGTATGAATAGCTAGGAATTTTCTACAAAAAGAAGTCAATGCTTTAAAAGTGAACGACCAAACATGATCACGAAATAGAAACAAAAATGTTGAAATCTCTGATGTTATGAAATAAAATGGTTTAAATTTTGAGACATAATGTTTGTGATATTGTTTTTGTTTATGAAAATCGACTGTTAATAAATGAGCCTGGTCCAGACTATCCAGTGTTTGATATTATGAACAACAATGGTCCATGCCATTGGGGCATGATGACATGCAATCAACAGTCATTGAGTCAGCATTCATAGTGAGTGAGTTTAGTTTTGTGCCACACTCTGCAATATTGATCCGGGTTAGAATATTGCTCTTCAGTAACCCATGCTTGTCGTAAGAGGCGACTAATGGGATCGAGTGGTCAGGCTCGCTGACTTGGTTGACACATGTCATCGGTTCCCAGTTGCGTTAATCGATGCTCACTGGATTGTCTGGTCCAGTCTTGATTATTTACAGACTGCCACCATATAGCTGGAATATTGCCGAGTGCAGCGTAAAACTCAACTCACTCACTCAGCAGTATTTCAACTATATGGCAGCGGTCTGTACATTATAGAGTCCGGACTAGACAGTCCAGTGATCAACAGCATGAGCATTGATCTACGCAATTGTGATACAATGACGTATCAACCAAGTCAGTGAGCCTGATCACCCGATGCCGTTAGTCAGGCTCAGACTTGGTTGTCACATCATTGTATCTCAATTGCGTAGATCGATGCTCATGCTGTTGATCACTGGATTGTCTGATTCATGATCCTCCACATTATGACCAGCATAGGTTGATGGGGAAAGCCACATTATGAACGCAGGGTTTTTACACACACTTTTAAAAATGGGAGTCATTACAATATGTATTTTTGGGAGTCATTTGCAATATTTGGGAGTCATGAAAATTTAATATTTCTTTGTGTTAATCATTCTCAATATGTAACTGTGTATGTCACACCACCAAATGCCACTACAGCATTGTTCAATTCAAACAGCCAGGATTACTGTCTCCTCTGAGTTCTCTGGAACAATCTGACAGCTCTGTAAAAGTCAAAATATCATCGAACAATATCGTTTTTTGCTTATCAAATCGATTTTATTGAACTGAATTGTGAGGGCCACCTATAAAACTTGCGTCAAGCTTGACTCGTATAATAGTATTTTGAGAGTCATTAACACAATTGTTGCGTCAAATACGCAAGAATCACGCGTCATGTAAAAACCCTGTGAACATTATAGGTTGTTGGGGAGCTGTTTAACCTGGAATTCATGCAGTACTTCCAGCATAGGTCTTTTTCTCAAGTAAGCAACATGTGCTGTCATTGCAGAAGCATCTTTGATAAATCCTTGCTTGGATTGGATGGTTGTTATGTCTCCTGTTTGTTTCTCATTCACATTGAACCTGTGAAGATCTGGGTTAGAATTGGTCTTCAGCAACCCATGCTTGTCATAAAAGGCAACTAACTGGATTGGGCACAGATCAATGCTCATGCTGTCAATCACTGGATTGTCTGGTCCAGACTCGATTATTACTTAGACTGCCACCATATTGCTGAATATAGCATTAACGAAACAAACGATTCATGGACACGATTTTTCAGGATGTCTGATTAATGAGACTCGCCCCCAGTGAGATATTGATGGAATATTGCTAAAAGAAGTGTAAAACTGAACTCACTCAAGTTTGTTTTTGATGTTTTTTGAAGGAATTTCCAGAAAAATGAGTTTATTAAAACCAAAGCTTGATGGTGTTTAACATTCAGGTTTATGATGTTGGCACCAAACAATCCATGCTGTATGATGACATGCAATCAGCAGAGATGCCAACCACTCAAATTTTTCAAATTTATTTTTACAGTATACAATTTCGTAAGTCACTGGTGTGTGATCCTTTGGGTATATTGCGTGTTATTGATGATGAAGTTTCACAAAGTTTTTTCCGAATGCATGTTGCAGTCCATATGAAAGTGAAACAAAATGGCAGAGCCGACCACGCGCTGCGCTCACCCCCAACTCGCACCTTTAAGGTGAGAATTTCAAATGCCATTAACCAGAGATGGCACGTGAGACCCGTCGACTTGTCGTAAAAGGTGACTAATGGGATCGTGGTGAAGCTTGCTGACGTGGTTAACACAATGTGTCACCGTATCCCAAGTGCATATAGACCACCTCCGTGGTGTAATGGTGAGAGCGTCCATCCGGGTTCGATCCCCGACCGTATCATACCAAAAGACGTTAAAGTATGGTACTTGATCATCCCTGCCTGGCACTTGGCATTAATGGGTACAACAAGCACTGGTCGGCTCGGAGTCAGTATAATGTGTCTGAGTAGGGTATTCATGCTACACTGCGGCATGTTATCTCAGTGGGCTAGCACGTCGTCATATGGGCGAAATATTCTCAAGGACGACGTTAAACCCAAAGTCACCTCACCTCACCAAGTGCGTAGATCGAAGCTCAAGTTGATCACTGGAATGTCTGGTCCAGACTTGATTAATTACAGGCTGCAGCCGCCAGAAACTAGAATATTGCTCAGTGAGGCGTGAAAACTGAACTCACTCAAGTTTGTTTTTGATGGGTTTTTAAGGTATTTTCAGGAAAAAAATTAACTTCTGGCAATTTTTGAAGTGTATAAGGGGCCCAAAAACAATTTTTTTTAAGATTTCTTGTAAGTTAACATTTTTGGCTCACATAAGGATTTTAATTTTTTGAGCAGGAAAATATTTTTTGTTTTGTTTTTTCTAATTCTTGAAAAAATATGACAGGCGAGCCGTAAAACAAGAAATAAAATTGGTCTGGCCTAAAGTACAGATTCTAGTACTTTTGTTGGGTTGAGTCCCAGCTTAGTTCCACTAAAGTTCTAGAATCTGTACTTTACTATGAAAGTGTAATGGCATTGTGTATTTAAAGTCCATAATAAAATCTGATATTCGACCAACATCACTGGAATACTGTCAAAAGCCATCAATCCATTCAACTCCCTGTACTGACACACAAGAAATATGGACTTCAAAATCTACACCTTATTAAACTATGATTATCATAATCCTTCACAGCTTAATACCCAAGACTCAACTCCTTATCTTTCATCTGATGTTACCATGAAGTGTATAAAGAGTTTGACATCCATACGTCTACCATTGTCTAAATGTCAGTCAAGACCTGTGAGTTGAGACACTTCCTCCGTATAAGAGAAGACGTCAGACATAATTAAATATGTATATTTAAACAATGACACATCTGTACATATTAACACCTTAGCACTGACACAATCACCAAGACAACATGTTCTGGATGCAGGTGGTTTCCTAAGTTCAGATGAATCAATGGACAAAATAAAACATACGATTTTCACCTGCCCTTCTTCATTCATCTACAAAGAACAGTTTCTGTAATGAAGGAAGTACACCTCATGCACTGTTCTAAAAGATCAGGCTACATGCGATTTAAATTAATATGGGCAATATAGTGACATGCTGTAGTCTGTTTGACTTCATTTGAGACCCATGAATCACGAACACGAAATCTAATAAATGCAACAAAACCAAATTTTTCACCGTCACATGAAATCGACAGACCAACTCTGATGATTTGTCTCATAATTTTGGACACCCGAATAAAAATGTTTAACAAACGATCATTATTTTGTTGTCACTTTTCGCTTTTTCATACGAGGGAGGACCACTTGCTCGTAGAACAGCCAGGAGTGTGAGTTGAGCGTGTGACATTGAAAGTTCACTGCATATGCTTATTGATGCAGTGACAACAAAATAATGATCGTTTATTAAACATTTTTATTTGGGTGTCCAAAATTATGAGACAAATCATCGGAGTTGGTCTGTCGATTTCATGTGACTGCAAAATTTGGTTTTGTTGCATTTATTAGATTTTGTGTTAGTGAGCAATTCATTGGTTTCAAATGAAATCAAACGGACTGTTCATGAAAACTACATCAGATGCCTTGAACAGTTTATGTAAACAACAAAATGAAAAAGGTTTTGAAGCTATTGTATGAATCTGATGTCTAATTCTACATTATGGTAACCATATCAGTACTGAACACTGGGGCATTCAATGAAACGAATGAGTATGGTGTTTGCAATATTTCAGCAACATCACGGGTAAGCAAAGAAAAAAGCTCCCCAGCATGTACCCATATGGGAATCAAACCTAGGACTTTGGCGTGACAAGCCATGAATACTCAACTGCTAAGTTGTCAGGACATAATACACATACATTTGCAATCCAGACCGACAACATCACCAGACACTCAGTCAAACATGTTTGTTGCACCTGAAACATTGTTCATTGTAAACCACGAATAATAATAGTAGTTATGGAAATATCATGGAAGCAATTCGTTTTACAAACATACAAAACTTTGTTATACAAAATAGGTATTATTATGTTGAAACGGTTAAACTGGGGTTTCACGTCTGCTGAGGAGTTTCTCAGCCTCTGGATGCTCCGATCTGTCCAGGTCAGTCTTTTGTCGTTTCAGAGGACTCAAGTTCAAGGACAGATTGTTATTCCTGAGCATTTCATTCATCTTCAGCCTGTTCTGAAACCGGGGCGAGTGAAACTTGTCCCGAGAAACATACTCGTGGTAATATTCTCGTAAATGAGCCTCCTCTTTTTCCCGCCTAATATACTTGATCATGAGTACCACTATGCTGAAAGCGTAAAAACTCAGCACTATTATGATGTACAGGAGAGCGTCAATGGATCCCTTGCCTTTGAGCATGGCATCTGATTGGTTGAAAGGAGCAGACGTCAGCCCCTCATCTACTAATGCCATTGTTGACTGGTTGAGAAACACAGGTCTGAGAGTATGGTTTTGTAAACTTGATTTTGATAGGTCAGTCAGTGTCAGATCTGGACTTGGCAGTTTCATACTGAACATATTCCTACATCCATTCTGATAAAAGTTTGCAAACCACAGATTCCATAAGAAATCAGAACTTTGAGAGCTGAATATTTTTTGAAAGGTCGGCCATGTCTGAATTACTCTTTTAAGGATCCAGATAATAACAATTCAGTAACTGAATCACTGTCTTCAGCATCACACACCAGACCAAGTCTTGCAAGTAATTTCTTTCAGCTTCTGGCTCAAGCCATTTTCCTGCGCAGAAGCTTGACAGTGTAGAGGTGATCTTGGCGCTTTGACTTAGTAAAACTCAAGGGCCATTATAACCGTCTTCCTGATACATGGCGACCATCACTCGAGGGCTGTCTCAACATCCTCATGTCCTGCTGAAACACAAAATGTACTACTGTAAAGGATTGAAAAATCAAAGAATCCTAAAGATTCAGAAAGCGTAGCTTCTCCTAAGTGGCATTTAGAAGCTTTGGGAAAGTGGGGGTGCACACTTCATTTTGACGAGAGTTTCAATTGTCATTTAATAACCTTTCAGGACAAAGTGCACCCCTCTCTAGATCCGCCTATGGACAATATCTTTATTGCAACAGATATATAGACATCGTTGTTGCAAAAGATGCATCTGTTGCAATAAAGAAACCTATCCATCAAAATAGATGCATCAAAAGTTTGCTATTTAATTTAATTCCTCACATCTCGCATCAAATGACTGGTAATAATCTATTGTGGCTTAATAAAGTATTTTACTTAAAATAAGCTAGACAGGTAAAAAAAAAAGGAAACAAAATAGTCAGTCACTATATATAATACATAGCATTATCAGACAGATAATTAAATATTTGTATGACATCTGCAACAATCAGCCACACCAAGACCATTCCCTTTCAGGTGCTGCTATCTGTGTGATCAATAGAGTTTAAATCTGATATGATGCATGTGGGCGAGAGTGTCTGTAAGTGGCGACATGACGGGCAGCATGACAAGCAGCATGACAATCTTCATTACCTAAGTGGATGGGAACAGACTAGACTTCTGACAACCATGACATTGACTGTTCATTTAGTGCAAGTCAAGCACACTTACTTTCAACTGGCAGCAGAATCTTGGCAACACTACCATTCTTTAAAAATATTATTTTTTACTGCAATCAGGTTCAATTTTCTAAAAGTCTAAAAAGCTACACTGTAAACCACTTAGGGACCATTAAATATTATTGGGCGAGTGGAGGCTGGGTGTTTCTCCTTTATTATTTAAACTAATAAAAAACATGCTCAAATTAAATTGGTTTGGCATCTCCTTAGAGAGAACAAAATTGTAAGTTTATTCTGCCTCAAACACAAATCCCATGTCACATTTTTCACAGACAATAGATCAGATCTTGTCATCTTGCTGTTAAAACTCATTCACCTGTGCAGCTCAACTCACTTCATAATTTTCCTAAAAGAACAACACCATCAATTAGTGTATAGACACCAGTGAGCAATGTTCAATCTACCGAGAATGTCACATTGCCTGTTGTAGCTAATGGGGTCTGGACCAGGTACAGAGAGTAACTAGTAGCAATGGTCAAATCACGTGCAGTAACTGAAACCACAAGCAACGGTTCCTTGATATACAATTCCAGTGTATGAAATGTATTCCATCATTTGACACAAAACAATTACAAAATATTTTCTAAAGTCAATGAAAAGTTCAACATAATCCAATGACTACTGGCCTTCTGGAAGGTCATAAAAACACAGTAAGTTCGACTAATATTATTTGTAATCTTCCTGGGGTTAAACTACTGTTACTTCTTTGTTTAAACTAATTTTACTACTTTGGTTAATTTACTTTTAGGCCAGACCAATTTTATTTCTTGTTTTATGGATCCGCCAGTCATATTTTTTCAAGAATAAGGGGAAAAATAACCAACTGAATTTCCCCCCCCTCAAAAAATAAAATCTTAATGTTTTTATTGGCCGAAAATGTAAACTTACAAGAAATGTTTTTTAGATTGTTTTTTGCCCCATATACACTTCATAATTTGCCAAAAGAAAAATACTTTTAGTATTTAGAAGGAATATTACTTTGACTGGTGATTTTCTTTTTTCCCTCCTGCATTTAGGTTTTCTGAGAACAAAAATCTGTAAAACAAGAAATGTAATTGGTCTGGCCTTAAACTACTTTTACAACTTTGCTTAAACTACTTTTACTACTTTGGTTAAACACAACAAGCAGTATGGTGCTGACAAATCTGGAAACACAATCAGAGTGAAACCGGATTCAAATGACAATCGATGGCGCCTAACATGCCCAAGGGATGTAACTCTATTCAGTGAAATGTGATGCCTTAGATGACCAAGCCACCATTGTTATGGCCAGAGCCTAGAGCACAAGATCCAATGGAGGTCACAGACACGTTCCACATAGTGAGTACCAACAGAAACAGGATCGTTTCGGTTTGCTTTGTTGTTTAATGCCGCTTTCAGCAATGTTCCAACTATAAAGTGGTGGTCTGTAAATAATCGAGTCTGGACCAGGCAATCCAATGATCAACAGCATGAGCATCAATCTACACAACTGGGATACACTGACATGTCAACCAAGTCCGAGTCTGACCACCTGATCCCATTAGTCGCCTATTATGAAACAGGATCGTAACAGACCAACAGTCATACTAAAGCTGAAGCTGGACCCCTGATGGCGAGGCAGCCTATTAGTCAGTAAGATGGTCAACCAACAGATCAAAGGACTGAGCGAGTACGTTTTATGCCGCTGTTAGCAATATTCCTGTAATATCACAGCACAGAACACCTTGAACAGGCTTCACACATTGATACCTGTGTAGGGAATAAAACCCACCTGATGAACAACTGCATTAACCACAAGGTTACCCCACCACCATCACACCAAAGGCAACCAATTCCCCCACATAGGTACAATATGTGAAGCCAGTTGCTGGTGTCCCTACTGTGATATACATATTAGCACAGCTGTGACCTTGAAAGTACATGTCATCGTCACTAGCAACCTGAAATGGAAACAAATTCATCAAACCTAAAACTATAATCAGAAAATCCCATAGCCATCTGTGTTGCACCAATATTATAGCACAATATATATATTTATATAGTTTTCCCATTTACGTGTTTTTAATGTTATTCTATGCATCTTCCACAACTCTGTTAAACGAAAACGAAAAGCCAGAACATGTGCCTTCTATCAGTGTTTAAAACTCCCAAAATTCCAAGCTAGACAGCCAGACTGGTAACTTTAAAAAATTACCAGTCCGGATACAAACTTGCCTGTCCTTTTTTCAACAATAAAAACCAAAACCAAATCAGGTTTCTGAAAAATTTACTGTTTGTAGGCATCGCAATGAACTACATGGCACTAACAGGCAATGCACCGAGTTTAGGTAAACTGAAAGTAAACGTGTTGTGATTGGTTATCGTAACATGAACTGTCCAATTGTAATTAGTTTAACATAATACCATAAACACCTCAAACTGACGACAAGAGAACCTGTCTGATATTATGAAACATTTACTGTTAGGGGTAAAAATATCTACCGGTACCAGACCACTGGACAGGCTACTTTTGAAATTTGACCGTCCGTGACGAAAATAGACCATTCCCGACGGTCGGGCAGGCGGGAATTTAAACGCTGCCTTCTATGACATTGCCGTTTTTACTGTCTATGTAACCCTCTCACATATCCGGTTTACTGGTAAGCCTCACAATTCATCTGATACATGTAACAAGCCTTAATGAACGGACCTTAAACTGAAAATAGTATCTTATAACTGTAGAGGCATCAATGGTAAAACTAAACATAAAGAAATATTCACATTTCTAAAGAAAAGGAAAGCCAATGTCTACTGTTTGCAAGACGTGCATTTCACACAAAAATATGGAACAAAATATAAAAGAAGAATGGGGAAACAAAGACTGTTTCTTTTGCTCTTATAAAAGTAATTCTAGACTGACTGACTGAGTTTGGTTTTACGCCACTTTTAGCAATATTCCAGCAACATCACGGCAAGGGGGGGGACACCAGAAATGGGCATCACACATTGTACCCATGTGGGGATTCGAACCCGGGTCGTCGGCGTGACGAGCCAACGCTTTAACCACTAGGCTACCCCACTGCCCCAGTAATTCTAGAGGGGGGCACATAATTTCCTAAAGTTCACACAGAATTTTCAGAATTTGTTGAATCTCATCAGTCATCAGCATTTAACACATCAATAGCGTAACACAAAATGAACTGGGTTTCCAAATTCAAGTACTTTTCAAAGCTTAACAAGGTGACAGAAACCATTTTCCCCTTGCTGACTGTGTAAAATCATGTCCTTCTTTCCCTATCAACACCATCCCAACATTAACATATGAAAACAGTGACCTTTGTATGATTTGTAACAGATTCAGGCATATTCAACTGTAGATGATCAATGCAGGGACCAGTCTAAGTAAACTTAGGCTCAGTATTATTTGTTACACTGCTATACTGAGTCTAACAAAACCTAGTAGAAGGTCGCGTCAGCTAACCTTTCGGACTGACCAATCAGAACACAGCTTACCAAATCGCGAAAGTTAACATTCACACATACCGTTTGAACCTTTACCTCAAAGACTCGAACGATTCCGAATGCTATTTCCCGCAAAATAGCTTCCGAGTGATGAGTAAACAGTCGCTGAAAATAGCATTTTGGTCAATATTCAAAGATGTCATCTTGCGAAAATATAAGCAAATAGTAACTGTCATTAGAAACACATAAGCGTATATACTGCAGGTCCAATATCTGTGTTTTATGCGGATTTTCGTTTGTTGATAGATCAGTGTCAGTCACCAGGGAAGAGAAAATCCCAAAAATGTTTTGTAAGTCCTGCCGAAACCTAACAAGTAGTCGTTGTCTGATTGGTTAAATCTGTTCGGCCGTCTTGCGTTTGATTGGACGGTCATAGGTCACTCAAAGGTTAGCTGACCCGACCTTCTACTAGGTTTTGTTAGACTCAGTATAGCAGTGTAACGAATAACACTGAGCCTAAGTTTACTTAGACTGAAGAAACATATCAGGGACAATACTGTTGTTACTGATCGTAAGTAGGCCGCCTCCGTGGTGTAGTGGTCAGAGCGTCCGCCCGGAGAGCGGAAGGTCGCGGGTTTGATCCCCGACCGCGTCATACCAAAAGACGTTAAAATATGGTACTTGTTGGTCCCTGCCTGGCTCTTGGCATTAATGGGTACAACAAGGACTGGTCGGCTCAGAGTAAGTATAATGTGTCTGAGTGGGGTATTCATGCTTCACTGCGGCATGGTATCTCAGTGGGCTAGCACTATAAAACCAGCTTAAGTCTGGGCTAGTACAAGCAGCCGCACATACACATA